CATCTTAGCTGCATCATTGATGCAGAGATTTCGCATCCTTCAAACTAACGTTTTGCATCTTTTAAATTCAAGTTTGATTGATCTTTTCAGAAACTTCAAATTCTATATAAAAATGCGCATAAATCGACCAACTTCATTAATAAGTCTCAAATTCATACTTGGAACTGAGATTTTCTCTCTAGTTGATCGTTTAGTTAACTAGTTTTTATCATGATTCTAGATATTAATGAATTGTAAGAAATGGAATCCAATTAAACAAAAATATTCATGCAATTATTAATATTGAAATGGAAGAAGTAAAAAGAAGAAAAAAAGCACGCCTAGAAATGTTTATGCTTCACCAAATTTTTCTTCTTCATATGCCGAGTTATCATGTTGGGATCACGTGAAAGCGATAAAAAGAGAAAAGAACAAAAAAAAATTCTGCGCTTGTGTCAACATCAAAATGGAAATCAAGGGAAGAAATGGGAGTTCACAAACAAAAGAATTGAAGGAGACGAAGAAAAGAAAAAGTTTTGTGGAGATGAGAAAAAAATGGCGACGCCACAAAGACGCTTTGCGATGTGAAATAACATCATGGAAATGAAAAGAGATTTACGTACGAATATCAAAGAACATTTCATCTATTTCTTCAGCTGTGGCGATTTCAAAAAGTCTTTACAATAAAAATGGATAAAATAAACAATAAGAATGAAATTTCTTTTTCGCTTCACGTTTCAAATTGAAATTGAAAATCATTGTAGCGATTTTTTTGTGTGTTATCTCTCACTCGTTCCTCTTTATAGGATGAATAATAAAAAAATTTTCATTTGTCATTTCAATTTCATAAAACGAGGAAAATAACATTTTTTTGCTCATCTATTCAACGATGAAGGAAAATACGATGCTATTTTATGATTTATGATCCGATATCATAACATTTTGATGGCTCTCGAATAAAAACTGCTGAATGAGAAATGAAAAATAGTAAAATAAAGTATTTCCCTTAGTAATTAAAACTAGTAAGATATTCAGTCAAAAGATTCTCATTATTACTTTATGATTATGACGCAGTTCCTTTTGGAGGATTAGATGTATTATTAGATGACAATTTTCAATTTCTTGTTCTGAAAATTCAAAATTCTTCAAATGATTTTAAAAAATGAGTTTTAATTAATTTCAATATAGATTAATTTCTGAACTTCATAGTCAGTAGCTTCTTAAAATTCAAGACAAAGCTCGATCAAGTTGTTAAATTCCTTGATGAAATCTATTAAAAAAGGTTTGTGAATCAGGTAGATCTTGTAATGTTATTAAATGTTTTATTTTGAATGGAAATTCGTGTTAAATTCAGGGGGAAAATAACTTGGTGTGAAACGTGTACGCCATTTCACACCAGAGTTGTGAAATTTCACACCACTGGCGTGAAATGGAGTGAAATTTCACACCACTGGCGTGAAACTGGCGTGAAATGGCGTGAAAATTTCACACCACTGACGTGAAATAGCATACATTTTTCACGCCAATATAAAAAAAAATTATAATACATTTAGTGATTTTTTTTACGACCAGAAAGCCTTTCATTTAATATTCCATTAACCATTAAGGTTTGAAAATAAACTTTTTTAATTTAAATAAGTAAACCTAAGATAGTTTTATAGACAGTTTAATGGTCTTCTTGTCTTTTTATATGACTAGTTATAATTTTCATGTGCCACCAAGTCCTTATCCTTCAAAATTCGAATTTTCAACATACTGTTGGTTTTTTAAATCTTCGTAATAATTTTCTTTTAAAATCCTACAAAACTTGTCTTCGTTAGTTAAAATTAAAATAGTTTAATTGATGGTTTTTTGAAAAACATTTTTCAAAACGGTCAAATTTAAAAATTTTCCTCAGGTTTGTTTACATTGACAAGTTATTCTGTAATTTAAAAGATCACCTACAACTCATTAGCTACACACAATTGTGAGCTTTAAACATTTAAGCTGCATTACAATGCTCAAAAGTAAGTATTGTTTTTGTTTAATCGTGTTTTTAAACATAAACAAACAATTTTTTTTAAAAAAAATCATTAGATTTTGATAAAATAAGCTGATTTTTTACAATTCTAACACTCAGATGTGAACTACAAAAGATTGGGTAAGAGTTTAAGACTAATGAGTTTAGTGTTTATGAATATTGATTTTAGCTCCCTAGAAGTTCTCGAGAAAATCAATAGAATTCAAATTCTTCATGATATTGCGTTTGATTTGCGAGAAAACTTTGTTTTGCCTGAGAACGAAAAGATCAAATCTGATAGTTTGATTTCGAATGATGTTCCTGTATACTATCCATCAATTGAAGAATGCAAGACTGTTTTGGGAGTGTTTTGTATTTTCCCGAAAAGCAAAATAACGAATAACCGTTATTACGAATTACAAATTTACGAATGTTCATTTTTACGAAAATTTTTATGGTAAAAACTTATAGGATATAATTTGAATCTCAAAAAACCGTTGGTTAAATCAAACATTAAAAGACAATTTACATCAATTTCATCATTTAAATGCGAATAGATATGATATAATAATTATTATAAGATGAAGGATTAATAGAACTACAAAAAGAATTGCATTTATTTAAAATGTGTAATATTTTTTCTTGTTTTATGGGTAATTCCATGAGAAAATTTTATAGCAAAATAAAATTTTTATAGAAAAAATATTTCACATTTAAATAAATGCAAATCTTTTTTTCAGTTCTATTAATCCTTCATCTTATAATAATTATTATATCATATCTATTCGCATTTAAATGATTAAATTACTTTTAACTGTCTCAATATTTGATTTTATCCAACGGTTTTTTGAGATTCAAATTATATCCTATACGTTTTTACCAGAGATCGAAGCCGATTTTTTCGGCTTAACTCAATTTTTGATTTTTTTGATAGAAAAAGCCATTAAACACCCATTTCAAGTATTTAAATTGAACTTTACATGCTTTACTATGATTCTGTGAAATATTTTTTCAGCATGTAGCTATAGTGAGCTCAGAATTTCAAGTTAAAGAATGTTAAGCCGAAATTTAAGCCGATCGTTTTAAAATCGGCTAAATTGAAATTCTGAGCTCACTATAGCTACATGCTGACAAAATATTACACAGAATCATAGTAAAGCATGTAATGTTCAATTTAAATACTTAAAATGGGTGTTAAATGGCTTTTTTCTATCAAAAAAATCAAAAATTGATTTAAGCCGAAAAAATCGACTTCGATCTCTGGTTTTTACCATAAAAATTTTCGTAAAACTGAACATTCGTAAATTTGAAAATTCGTAAAAATAGTTTTTCGTTATTTTGCTTTTCGGGAAAATACAAAACACTCCTGTTTTAGATAAAGCTTCCAAAGATGCTGAACAAATGTGATTTGTCAGGAACTTCAATTACTCAAAGATTCCTTAGTTTACTTAAAAAAAAATTAAAACATTATAATAATTTTAAATAAATTTAAAAGTATGTCAACTTCTATAAAATATTAAAAAAAAAGACTGTTAATTATTTTTTTTTCGATTAAAATTTTCACGACATTGGCGTGAAATTTCACACCACTGGCGTGAAATTGGCGTGAAATGACGTGAAATTTCACACCATTGGCGTGAAATGGTGTGAAATTTCACGTCATTTTTGTGAAATTTTTGGCGTACACGTTTCACACCAAGTTATTTTCCCCCTGGTTAAATTCTTCAATCGATTATAATTGTGACTGTTTTGAGCATAAAGAGCATAAAATTTGATCAAACAACGAAAAATCTCAAATGAAATTTCGACAAACTGCACATCAAATCAATCCATTAAAGTGAAAAATAGAGTTTCAATATTTTTAATCCACACTAATAGGGTTGAGATGAGAAACGACAAACGTCGATGGATTTTATTGACGGGAAAAAATAACAATAAACACAAGACATTGTGTCAATTATCATCACTAGATGGTGAGGGAATGGGAGGAAGAGAAATTCTAGCGTCCCTCCGACTGCTGCTCATTTTGCTTCACGACTCGGATGAATGATCTTCAAGAGGATGTTATAAATTTCAGTTAATGTCAGCAAGTTGAGAAAGCAAACAATAAAGATGTCCATTCCTTCCGTCCATGTGATTGAATAATAGTGTAAGATGGTAAGCAAGAAAATTCAAGCAAATAGGCTTGGCATCATGTCAATGCACAGCAAAATCTAATTGATGAAAATGTACAAGACATCACTTCCGGTTTGATTCTTTTCTCCCACAATTTCGTTCGATTTCTTTGCTATATTTTTTCCAGATCATCATTCGAGGGGTTCAAGACTCGTATGTAGAAAAAATATATGAAGCAATAAAAATATAGAAAAAAAAATTCAATAAATCGAAGCATATCAATAGATAGATATAGGATGGAAAATTATTTTATGGATTTATCGCTTCTTTCTTCTCGCATGTCAAAATAAAAATTTATTTTCTGCAGACTCCGTTGATGTTATCCTTCAGCATATATAAAAATATTTTTTTCTTCTTTATGCCATTATTTCAATTCACAAATTGAACATTAAAAACTTTCATCTTGCAATTTGTTATGGCAAATGTCATAAAGAAAGCCATTTTTACAGGACATAATTTATGCTAGTTTAGACTAGGAACAAATTTGTCAAATGTTTCGTGACATGACACGCATGAGTTTTGGATGATTTAAGGATGATAAGTTGAGAATTTATGGAATCTAATTTGTTGTCTTGAAATGTTTATAGAGTTTGAAAGACTTTTGGAGAATTTTTAATTAAATCCTTCGTTCAATCCTCAACTTAATCATCTCAAATAAGAAAGTTAAGAATAAGTTTTAGCAAAATTTAAATTTTTTGAATTAAAATAATCAAAAAAATTCAATTTAAAAAATTATGTTCAAATTCTCATAGCACTTGAATAACAAAATGTAACGCTTATTTTCTTTACGGATTCAAAAACCACATCTAAATGTGTTGGTGAGTCAACATTAATCTACATTAGCATTCACAAGTGTCTACAGTTGTGTACACACGCAGAATATAATATTATCAAAACAAATAAATTAATGATCAAATATCGAGGGAAGTAGAGATTTGTGAGACATAAAAACTTAATATTTATCCTTGAGTGCATTAAAAGAATTCCAAAAAAATGTCTCAAATCATAAGACAATCACTAAGAAAGCTGATGAGCCCAGCATTATACAATAATCAAGGGTTTCAAGGTCAGTATATGATTCTGATTCGCGATAAGATTTTTTTATTCGTTCTTATTCTTAAATAGGACTCGCTACTGCCGCTAAAATGCGTGAGTATTTTTTGTATGATCCTGTTGAATTTACTTTATGATTTGCCTTGCTATATCCCATGTATGATGATTTATGACTTATGTATCCCTAAAAATAGCTCCTTTTGACTGGGAAGATCCTATAAACTTAGACTCATTGCTCACAGAAGATGAACGTGCCATTCGAGATTCATTTCGTCAATACTGTCAATCTGAATTACTTCCTCGCGTCACATTAGCTAATCGTAACGAAGTATTTGATCGTGAGATTTATAAAGAAATGGGACAATATGGTGCATTAGGTTGTACAATTAAAGGATATGAATGTGCTGGTGTGTCAAATGTAGCTTATGGATTAATGACTAGGGAAGTTGAGAGAGTAGATTCAGCATATAGAAGTGCATTGTCTGTTCAAAGCAGTTTAGCTATGGGTGCAATTTATATGTATGGAACTGAGGAACAAAAACAGAAATATATTCCAAAAATGGCAAAGGGTGAATTGGTTGGATGTTTTGGACTAACGGAACCAGATCATGGATCTGATATTGGAAGAATGCAAACAAAAGCGACATTTGATTCAAAAACTAAAACGTATGTACTATCAGGAAGTAAAACGTGGATCACAAACTCACCAATTGCTGATATTTTAATAGTTTGGGCACGTTTTGAGGACGGAAAAGTTCGTGGATTTATAATTGACAGATCTGAAATTTCAAAAGGTTTATCAACACCTAAAATTGAAGGAAAATTCTCATTGAGAGCTTCTGAAACTGGCATGATTCTAATGGACGAAGTAAGGATTCCTGAAAATAATTTACTTCCAAATGTGGTCGGAATGGGCGGTCCATTTGGATGTTTAAATAACGCTCGTTATGGAATTGCATGGGGTGCATTAGGAGCCGCAGAAGCATGTTTATCACTTGCAAGACAATACACGTTGGACAGAAAACAATTTCAACGCCCATTAGCACAAACTCAATTAATACAAAAGAAATTCGCAGATGCATTAACAGAAATAACTTTAGGATTAACAGCAGCTTATCAAGTTGGACGATTAAAAGACAAAAATTTACACAATCCTGAAATGATTTCTTTAATTAAGAGGAACAATGCAGGCAAGTCACTTGAAATTGCTCGTCAAATGCGTGACGTTTTGGGTGGAAATGGAATTGCGGATGAGTATCACATCATTCGACATGTGATGAACTTGGAAGCTGTTAATACTTATGAAGGAACTCATGATATTCATGCCTTAATTTTGGGCAAGGGAATCACAGGATTAGCTGCATTTTAAAACATAATTAACTGAAATTTTACTCTTTATATATTTTATAATCAAAGTTAATAAAAATTCTTTATTTCATTTATCTTTTGTGTAGCTTCCGAGTAACTTAAAAATGTCACTAGAACCAATGGGACTTTCAAGCTATTCGAAGCTAATGCTCATTATTATGATTCATCACCAACTTGTTCCTTAAGTTTTGGCATTTTTCGTTGAGGTAGCACTTGCATTAAAATCTCTTTCCATGACTTGCCTTCACTAACACCAAGAAGGATCTCAAAGCACTGATTAACAGTTAAGACACTACGGCTTGTAATTGAAACATATTCAGAAAGTGGCAATCTAGCAGTTTTGATTCCTTGCTTTTCAGCTAGATCCAGTGTTAAGCCTTTCTGACTATTATGATCCACAATTCCACCAATGATATAGCAATGTCCATCCTCAAACTTGTCCAAGACATTTTCAGATTCGCTCGTTAAATAGACTATCTTCTCTTTGTCAAAAATTTCTGAGTAAGATTCACTGTGAGGAATGACATCCCAATTTTTCCATCCTTCATTCTTCTCTATTTGCTCATACATTCTTGTATTCTCTTTCAATCCAGTGAAATGAATAGGAATTGGCTTTTTAGCACGTCTATTTGCTGTGTAAATCCTTAATAATTGCGAGCATAAACTTGACAAATCCTTTTCTGCCATAAATTCATCAAAACTGAGATCAATAGCAATTTGAAAGCTTGCTGACTCAACGTCTGCTTTATTAAGCCTTAATTGCTTTCTAGTTGGTCCTTCATACTTAATTCCTTGCTCTTTTGCCTGGATCTTTTTCAATTTTCTTTTGGCTCTTTCTTTTTCCCGCAATTTTGTCTTTAATTCTTGCAATTTTTGACGTTTCTCAAGCTTCTTTCTTTGACTCTTCGAAATAGGCTGATCCTCAATAGCACCATTAATTGTTTGAACTTCTTCCTGTTTATTATCCATTGCTTAATTAGAGTAAAATTAAAAAATAATAAATATTCTTTAAAAAATCAACTCGTGAATTTTTCAAACTTTTTTGAACCGTTAAATCTTTCAACTGAATTATGCTTAAAACTATTGACGACTGATATATGACTTTGAATCATTAATATTTCTTTAATTCATAACTTATAAGACAAACAACATGAAATGTTACTTGCTAGAAAATGGTTTTCTAGCATTTGTTTTGATACTTTTCTGGTGGAATACATTTAAACATGAGCAACCTTGGATATGAATGAAAAAAAACCGTACAGTGAACGAAGACGTAGATCTATATTTTTCTACTTTTATGTTCCGCAAAAATTAATATTATTATTTGTGATTTTCGCGAATTTTCAAAGAGTTTATGTCCATAAAAACATACAACTATATGTTGTACAAGTGAATTTAATGTTAATTTTTTAAAAAACGACTTATTATGTGTTAAAATTCAGTTTTTCTGTTCAGATGTTTTTTCAATAGATTTTCAAACAGGGTTTTGTAAGTATCTTTAAAAACTTTTTTTCATATATGGGTCTTGTCGTGAAAAATCGGAAATTTTTTTCAACTGTCAAATTATATTTGAATTTTATGAAATTTTTGTCAAAAATTTGAATACAAAATTTGAATTTCAAAAATACGTTAAATTTTTATGCAACGGTTCTTTTAATTGTAAGCCACTAACACTTGTTTCTCAAGTGATTCAAGCCTTAAACTTACTAGTTTGGCAAAAAAATTGAGAGATAACATAAAATGAAAACATGAAATTTGATTCATGAAATAAATTACATTTTGAAAAGTACAAAAATTCATGACATAAAATTAAGATAACAAACCGAATGCTTATTCAGACAGACGATGATTTCAGCGAGGCCCATATATACTTTATATAGTGAAAAATCTTGTATGTGAGAGAAAAATCAATAATTTCAATTTTCATCATGAAGCATCATTAGCAAGTGAAAAACTTTATGTTGCAAATTATGCTCTATGAAATTTGCATAAGTCAATACATATGTTTAATTTTATAGATAACTACTTATCAATGCAATCCTTTGAATTATTTCGATTGGAAAAAAAAGTTGGGAGTTGTCATATTTATAATTTTTTTCTTCTTATCATAAATATAAGAATTTTGTTTATCTTTAAAAATTGATAAGGTTCGCGAAACAAGACTTAGCCATTCTACTACCACATAATGAAACATTATTGCATTAATATTTTATGCCATTTATTGTTATTGTTTGTAAGCTGAGTAGACGTATACCAAAAATGGCAATCCAATGAGAATCTAATGGGGCCATTCAAGTCATTTTGTAAATTGGCATATTCACGTCAATCTTTCGAATTTTTCAACAAAAAAAAAATATTAATCTTATTTCATGCCATGCATTAAATGTATCATCAGGGTTGATATTTATACGACCTTCATTAAACAAACGAAAATGAAAGAAGTTAAAGAAAAAAAAAATTCTGAGGGCTCATTAAGTCATCATTTTAGTATATACACATTCATATATCCTCACGAGAGGGATGAATGTTGTGTGATTGTGACTAATTAAATTTAACGAGAACACAACATGCATGATTCATACAGTATAAAAAGTGATTCGGTGTAATGAGCCAAAAAATATATTTTACGTAAATTTAGCGCCAAGTTCATACATCACAAAGTGTAATCGAGTGTGTGTCTCACGAAAACTGTGACTTAATTTTGGGCGATTTCCCAACTTTTTCATATTCTTCTTGCTCTTATAACAACAGAAAATAAATTTTTACGTCACCAGACTTTTGTTTATTTTAGTGTTTTCATTCTTAATTTAGAATTTCGCATTTATCGTATTTATTTTTCGTACACTTGACGACGCACTGTGCATAGACCGATCTAAATAAATATATAGGCAAAGGAGATGCATGATCTCGTTTCTAGATCTTCATTTTTCTTATTTTTCTCGTCAACTCATTCAATTAAAATGTGCTTTTTGCTGCACTTTGTCTATCTGGCTGTGTTCTTAGTTCAAGTTTAGGTTTTTTCTGGCAAGTATTTAGCTTACATGATTTCTGCCATGTTTTTAGACCTAAATTGAAAGAAACTTTAGGAATCATCCAGTTCCTTTCCTAGTAATCGCCAATAAACTTTATGAGGTGGATGTGAAAATTTCAAATATTTTTCAGTCTATATATTTTTTAAATTTTAATTCTTCTTTATTTCGCGATTAATCATAACCGGATCTAGTAACTCTGTGGGCGGAAAATGCGCTTGCATCATCGATCACGAATGATCAAGTCTTTACTAGTTACGATATAAATCGATGTACTCTACACTTTTTATGTTTCATTCATAAAATTTTTTGTTAAAAATACATATGTACGATACATATTTACGATCACACCGGGGAAAACACCATGACACGAGTGAACGTATTTAAAACATGCAAGCAAAAGAGCAGCTGAAATCATCAAGATATTTTTGTGATCTTCTTCTCATATGTATATTGCATTGACTTATTATGATCGTTTGTGTTTTCATTTTCTCTTCTTCTTAGTTCATTTTCGTTCTGTGTATATTATTAAATATACTGTAATTCTCGCCTTCTTCTCTCAGTTCCACTAACACATGGCCCCCAACAATCTCTGCTTGTGTTTTCACTGAGCGAGTTGACTTAATATTTTTTTTTCGACTCAGTCTGAGTTTTAATTTTCGAGCCATAAGTCGCGGAAAACGTTTGATTAGTAATCGCGCGACTAAAATAAGTAAAGAAGAAGTAAAAATATATAGTTTGGAGGTTGGTGGAGGTTCCCTTAAGTTATAAATTTTGCAAAAAAAAATAAGAAGTTTACTTGAATGATCTAAAAATAGATTGAGTGACGGTGATCATAAGCTTGTTTGCAATTGTCAAGCGAGTCATAAATTAGAATTGTGTGGCTAATGAAAAAAGTTCATATTGTGTAATTATTATGTGTATTTTGAAATAAACTACGCAAAATTTCCGATAAAAATATCAAAAATAATCATTTAAAAAAGTGAAAAAGATGAAAAAAAGTTTCACAATCGAAGAAAAATTTTCCGAGTGTGATTTCAACACGAAACAGTTTTTTTTTTATCTAAAATTAAAAAAATATATATATTTTCCACCCAGAAAGCACCCACACATCCGACATTGAGATCCCATACACACAATTTATACTTAGTATAAAAAAAAATATTTTTTATTTCACTTCTATTTCTTTTCTCTTCTTCTGGTGTTGATCGTTGAATGAAATATCGCTCGATAGAGCTTGCTTCTAGCTTCACATGTAATTCAATTTTTTTAACGCATTTTTATTGATTTTTCTTGCTCGTGCCATTATAGCGGCATTTTTCCCATTCCCTTCTCTCACTCTCCTTAATGTTCACAAAATGCCAAATTCATTTTCTTTTTTCTAACGATGATGGAATGAAAAACGAAAGATTTTTCTTCTATTTTTTTTTCACACGTGAAAATGAACAACGACGAAGAATGAAAATGAAATTTAAAGTTCATGTATAAATTATCAGCCATGATGTAATGTAATGTAAAAATCAGAGTTGGGCCTTTTAAATTTTCCTATCAATTGAAGTGACTCCACTTAATAATTTCTTGATTAGTCGATTGTAAGATAGGTCAAAAGTCAATTTAAGATTCATGTGGTTGCAGGCGGAATTCCATCAAGTGAGATGTTGACATTTGCAAAAAAAATGTGAGATTATGGGCGATGTCTGCAAATATGGTTTAACTTTCAAACACATGAACTTTATGTATGAATGTGTGTTTATTACATTGGAACATAAAAAAAGAAAAAGAAAATTAATAATAATAATGTCATGACGCGATGTGATGATGTGCTTACTGCTGTTGGATAATAATAATTCCATAATTATATATACATTCATGTATAATGTAATTTTATCAATTCTCCATACTCACTCCCTATTCATTAAATGCATTTACAGCTCCGTTCAGTTCATTGTAAATTATTGTTTAATGCAGAGAATTTTAACAAGTTTATAAAAAAAGTGCAAACTCAAGATTTTAACTATAAAAGAATCAACACCATTTTCCTGTTTATTTTTCAAAAGAAAAATAAATTTACATTTTCAATGTTACGGTGAGTTTATTTTTGCTGTTCATGTTTTCGAATATTTTGGATGTATTCATGAAATATTTTTAGAAACGAAGAAATTAGTCAGAACTATTCACAAGAATGTCGAATGGTTTTCGAAGAAATTTTAAAGTTTAAATGACACAACACAATATTTGGTTTCAATAGGCATTCATTATGTAGTTTCTGAGTGTGTGGCTGGGGGTGATTACTTTATTGGACACTTGTCTTACTTGGTTGTATGTTGATTCATTTTTCTTTAATATTAGGAAGATCTAAGAAAAGATCTAAGGAAGATTTGAGTGATTTTTCAAGATTTAAACTTCTGCTATTGAATTTTTAAAATTAGAATTTTCATTAAATTCTAAATAAAAAGATCTCCCCTTGAAAAGTGCTCAGTTTCAAGTTACTAAAGCAAATTCTCAAGTGCAGTTGTATTGCCCCATTATTTACTTATGATAAACTTCATAACTTTAATAAAGCAATTTTTCTAAAGCGAATGAAACTTCCTCAAAAACAAAATTCGCGCATTTTTCTGTTTATTAGTCATAATTTATTTCCGAGAGGCTTAAAAATGTAAACTTGAAGAACTGATGATTTAAAGGAATGATAGAATGTGCTCATCATCCACAATAGTTTATCATTAATCGAAGGTATCGAATGAATAATAGTCTCAGTGAAGGCGACGTAGACTCAAACTTATCTTAATTACTTGTTTCTTGTTGAGGGAATTAAAAAAAAAAAACATAAATATAATTTACATATTTGTGATTGAAAAGACGTTGTGAACACAAACAAGTTGGAAATAAAAAGCTATTAAAATGACGCAAGAAATAAAAGTTCGTAGAAATTAACATAAAAATTCGTTCCAAAAGACGTAAAAGGCTATTTTGAGAGCGAATCTGACGGAAATTATCGCAATAATATTATTTGCAAAACACATTCGAGATATTTATGACTTATTTTGAGATTGTAACTTAATCTTAAGAGATTAAGGCAGGGATTAAATTTTGACATTAATTTTTATCAATCATAAAGTCATGAAATAAAATCAAATTCTCACTTTATTTTTTATTTTGACACTTTCTATTGACAATAACATGCCTGCGTGAGTTGTTAGTGCCCAATTTACAGTAAAATATCGAGAAATATTTCCAAAAGTAGACACGATAAAAATTCAAATCAGAATATTTGTTATTTTTTGAACAAAAAGGTGTTTATATTTATGCCAATTACCAATACAGAAAGAGAACTCATAAAAAACCTGATCCAATTGCCAACATCAACAAAAAATAAAGGCATTTACACATAAGACTTCTTTGCTGGTGACTGCCTACGATTCATCAATGATCACAGATTTTTTTTTCTTCTTCTTTCTA